GTTAGAGATTCATGAGTCTAACAGCCTCAGGGTAGAAGCTGTTCCTCAGTCTAGTGGTTCTACACTTAATGCTCCTCAACCTCCTTCCTGAGGGGAGCGGGGCAAAGTGTGTGTGCTGGGTGAGTGTGGTCCTTCATGATGCAGGTGGCCCTCTTCCTGCATCTGGAGGTGTAGATGTCTGTGATGGTTTTGGTGGAAGTTTCCACCAGGGAGAAAAATTTCCAGTCAAAGTTTTTATGTGAAACTAAACATTGTTCTCACAACAGGACAATGCCATAATATTTGAAAAAAATTCCAGTTTCCCCACAACCCTCATAAATCAGATGCTTCAATGTTCCTAATGCATCTCTTTGAGCAGCGCTAATTTTTATAGAAAACTTTGATTTGTTTTTTGTTTCATTCTGAGATATTTTCATATAACACAGCTTTATAAGCATGTGTAGATTTAGCTGCATATTGCAGGTTTTTTTTTTTCCTTCCACGCGCCTGGGCTTCACGAGCTCACCAAAAGATGCTCATCCTGGCAAAGCAAACGACCCCCACCTTCCCTTCAAACAGCTTGTCTGCTGCTCCCCATCCCGCAGCAACGTGGAGGAGAGACAGCGCCACCACATCCCCGCCTCCTCCTCCTCCTGTACCAGAACAGATGGTGGCAACAACATCCCATCCAGCGGGCATCACAACAAAAGAGCGCAGCGTCCAGCCCTCACCGCCGCGGCCACGCACCGTCATGCTGCCGGCGCAGGACCGCCACAAGCTCTGAGAGCCGTCGTGGATTGTCCTCGCGCGGCGCCAGCACCTCCACGGCCACGGAGGAACCTTCTTGTCACTGTTTTGGGGCTCTCCGTCGATCGAGGAAGATGGCCGCTATGAAAATCCTCACGAGCGCAGGTCTCTTCTTGGCTCTGTGCGCGCTCGCGCTCCTCGCCATGGCGATCTGCACCGACTACTGGTACGAGACCGACGCCAGGAGACACCGGGAGAGGTGTAAGAACTACGCCAACAAGCGCAACGACCCCGGTTACATCTACATTCCGAGCCACAACCTCCCGATCCAGATGCCTCCGAAGAGGATCCCGGAGCGGAGAGGCAGCGGCCCGCGCGCAGCTCCTCTCATGCGCGAGAAGCGGCACTTCGTGGCCGCGGCGTCCGCCATGGAGTCTCACTGCAGCCGGCAGTTTAACTCCTCCATCTCCGGGCTGTGGAGGAAGTGTCACCGGGAGGGCTTCGACCTGGAGACCGAGGACCTGATCTACAAAGGTAAGCATGGAGCCTGGCTGCAGGCCGCAGCTCAGCATCCTCTCACCTTTAGCTGCTGTCTTTACATCTTGCTCCTTTCCTGCACAAGCTCGTGCTCCAGGCTCAAAGTCGCTGTCCGTGGTTCTGACAGAGACTGTCAGTGAGGAGACAAACCATCTGAGATGCTTCATAGACGCCTCATCAGGCCTCAGATTAGGATGCTCTGGATCAGGAGCTGTCCCATCATGTTGTTGGGTTTTAATGTGTTCTTGGTGAATCACCACTCACCAGCTGACCTCAAAACAGCTCAAATGTCTCATTATTGATCATTTTCTTTTCCAGTAAAGTGTCAGCCGTCACATCCTGTCATCAGATCCATTAGTGACATCAATAAAAACAAAACGTTTTATTTGCCCCAGATTATTATTTATTCTCCAAACAGCCAGAAGAAAGATGCTTATTAGAATCTGCCTCATTTGCAAATATGATAAAACTTAAAATTTAGTTTTAATGGTTTTATTTAGTTAAAAAAATATATGTTTTCTGATTAAAATAGTTGTTTGTCCTGGGTACTAGTTTAGCATTGCTACTATAAGTATAAACTCGAACATAAATATGTCAGAACCATCTCAGCTGCTGCTGTTTGGAAGAGTTTGATCCAGAAATTTCACAGATATATTGATATTCAATTTGAAACGCAGGTACGCACTCAGTGTAAACAAATCCCTCAGATTAACTCACTAAAATCCCATTGAAGCTTGTGTCACATGATGGGCTGTAGTCTGTGCAGGTAAACAATGTGATCGGTAGGTTTAGCCTATTTTCAGTCACTTTGGCTGTTTCTGTTGGTAAACAAAAGCATGTGATTGTTAATGTGATTGCAAATTTCATTTAAAATTTTTGAACAGTCTTTTTTGATACAAATAAAACAGAGGAAAACAAGTGAACACAAAACAAAACCCCCTCCCACACCAGACCAGTCACACATACACAAATAAACTACACAAGCATTGACAAGTCTTCAACAAATGATACAAAGGGCCGCCAAGTGTCCCAGAATCATCTTACAGAACCCTTCAGGGTCTGTCTGATCTTTTCTAAATGGATGTGGTGCATCACTTCCCTTACCCAATGCACATATGCTGGGGGCGGGGGTGGGGGTGGTAGTTCCTTCCAGTTGCACAAAATTACCCTCCTGGCCAGAGGACAGTCATCGGCAATCACATCCCTCTCACACTTGATGAAGGACGTATCCACAGGGACCACCCTGAACAGTGAGATGAGTGGTGATGGGTAAACGGTCTTACCACATATTCCAGAGAAGGTGTCAAATATAGATTGTCAACAAATCTGCAGTTTGGGACAGGTCCAGAATGTACCCGTATGCAGGAGTGTAGCTGGAGTTTGTTTGTAGTGATTGCATGCGGGGTCCAAATCAGCCTTGATCCTGGACAGCTTGTCTTTGGACCAGTGCAGCCTGTGCACCACCTTGAGGTGAATTACAGCATGTCTCAGGCAGAATGAGAATTAATAAATGTTTTTAATAATCCTTTTCCAGACTGAGTCTGATATGAGTTCCTCCAAGTCTGCTTCCATTTCAGTTTCAGGGAGTCCAAACTGGACTCATGGTATGAACTGGGCAGTGTATTAATTTTGCTGAGGGCCCCCCTGGTATCAAACCTGCACTCCAAAATCTTAACCACAAAATGTTTAGAAGGTACAAAGGAAACCAGTCAGAGTTAGATCTCACAAAATGTTTCATGAGAGGTAAATACTTGGTTTTATAGAGATTCTTATGATCTTGAGTTACCCAGATCCCAAGTTTTTTTTTCTTTACTAATTTTAAAGGGAACTGTGTCCAAGATTTTCTTTTTTCTAGAGGTCACAAATATCAGTTCACTCTTTTGAAGGTTAATCCTATAACCAAATAATCTCTTATAACCAGATAATCTCTTATAACCAGATAATCTTCTGAATTTTTGAATCAAAGGGGATCTGACATATATAAAAGCATGTCATCCGCATATAAAAATACTTTGTGTTCTGTGCCTAGTCCATTTATTCCCTTAATGATTGCGTTCTTCTCTAAAACTGTAACCAATGGTTTTGTTGCCAACACAAACAGACGTGGTGAGAACTGGCAGCCCGTCTCGTACCCCGCTGCAGTTTAAATAGGAAGATATGTTATAGTTGGTGTGGACCGCTGCCATTGGGGCGGTGTATATCAGACTCACCCATGATTTAAATTTGGGACCAAATTTAAATAACTTTAAAGTCTCAAAGAGGTAATCCCACTCCACCCAGTCAAATACTTTTTTCTGCATTTAATGAAATAATGAGTTGATTGCAGGTGTGCTCAGGTGGGCTAAGAGTGTACAGCACATCAAGGAGCTGCCTAACATTGAAGAAAGCCCGACAGTTTTTAACAAACCTGGTCTGATCAGGTGACACAATAGTAGGAACCACCTGCTCCAGTCGTTTTTCCAGAACCTTTGCAAGGATTTTAACATCAGTATTTAAAAGTGAGATGGGTCTATATGAGCAGAAGTTTAGAGAGTCTTTGTCTTTCTTATGTATCAGCGAGATTACAGCTTGGTGCATGGTCAGTGGTAATGTCTGTGCAGCAAGTGATTCTTCAAACACAGACATTAATAAGGGTGAGAGTAGACTTCAACATTTCTTTAAAAACTCAGATAGGAAGCCATCTGGTCCAGGGGATTTCCCATTTTGCATATCGTTGATTGCAGAGTTAATCTCAGCCACAGAGAACTCCTTCTCCAGGTCCTCTGTGAGAACAGGAGCCACTCAAGGAAATTCAAGATTTCAAAAATAAGTCCTCCATGTCCGATACACTAGGTGATGACTCAGTCGAGTATAGTGACTGATAAAATGTACTAAAATGTATTAATTTCAGCGTTGTCATGGCATGCAGCTCCCTGTTCATTGTTTATTGCTGTAATTGTTCGGTTGGACAACTGTCGTCTCGGGCAGCACGGTGGCGCAACTGGTAGAGCTGCTGCCTCTCAGCGAGCAGGTCTCTGGTTCAAACCCCGGTCCAGGGGCCTTCCTGGGTGGAGTTTGCATGTTCTCTCTGTGCTGCGTGGGTTTTCTCTGGGTGATCCAGTTTCCTCCCACAGACCAAAAACATGCATGTTAGGCTGATTGGTAACTCTGAATTGTCCCTAGGTGTGAGTGAGAGAGTGAATGGTTGTTTGTCTCGTTTGTCTCTATGTGTCCCTGTGATGGACTGGAGACCCGTCCAGGGTGTCCCCCGCCCCTCGCACAGTGATTGCTGGACATGGGCACCAGCGACCCCCGTGACCCAAAAATGGAACAAACGGGTAAAGATAATGGATGGATGGATGGACTGTCGTCTCAACTCATGTGCAAGCAGGCGCGTAGATTTTTCACCATGTTCCAGTGGTGGCTGGCAAATAGAGGGTACCAGGGTGCCACCCTACCATGCACCACCCACCACATTACCTTGAATAAGACATTCAAAAATTAAATACAAATGAAACAATAAAATAAAAATATTTTGAAATATATGTGCATTTTTTTTGTTGTGGAAGATAAATACTGTATTTTATAGTTATTGATAAGTAAATTTGTTCCATTCAAAAATGTCTGATTGGTGATGACATATTTCTGCCCTGGGGTGCAAAAATCTGTGCCCATAGATTCTCGTTAAAAGTTACACATGCACAGTTAGCTCCTCTTCATTACAAGATATAGGACCATTCTGGGTGCACCTCTCCTGCGCTCAGAGCTGAATGCGTCAATATAAATTCATTCATCCATTCAACCTTTATTTAAACAGATAAATCACATTGAGCCTCAAAGACTCATTTACAAGTGAGACCTGTTTGGACAAACAAAAACAGTGGGTAACTGGATACATGTTGGAGTTGGAGGCAAAAAAAATTCCTATCAGACTTTTTTCTTGGCTGAGAAAAACCCCTAATATTGAAAAAACACCTCGCACAAACAAGCACATAGTGACGTAGACATTCTGCATCAGAGACGAGAGCGGTCAACAACGTCTACAGATGCTCTCGAGGTCACTGTAATCAGTCAATGTCCTCCGGTGAGATCCATAAACATTCTCGAGGTATGTCAAGGAATGGCCAAGAATAACCTCTGTGATAATCCAGAGTCCTGAAATGATGACACAAAGTTTATTCAGCTGGTTTCATCTGGTTATCAGTTGGAAATTCCTCAGGGAGGGGGTGGTGAGCGTCAGATCACATGTTCTCCAGGCGACTTTAGATAAGATGGCCTTCAAGGACACCAAGGCGACCAAAATTCAGATAAACACACAGGTGTTTTGGGGACAGGCAGAACTTAATGACATCAACCTTGAGTCTGTGTTGGTCCACTCGGTTCAGAAATGTCCAAAATAACATGACCACACCGATGGAACATGTCGAGTAAAAATCCCCAAGATCTGATCCATTCAGCCCAAAGCATTTGAGTCCGGGTACTCCAGACATGAAACCAAACCATCATAAAGGCAAGCAGCATGATCGGGTCCAAATTTGCTGCCGACGACTTCCTTGATTGTAGATAAAAACCAGGACCAGCTGAATCCAAAAAGCAGGAACCAGTTATCGAAAATCCAATTAAATATGCGTCCTTAAAATCCACAGATGGCAGCAGAGATAGACACATCATCAAGTCTTCCAGTCGATGAGATATCCAGCTGCGTACGTGCCAACAGGGCAAATCGGCTCGCCCAAAGCCTGTCTTCTCTTGAAGAAATGTTGTAAATTGAGTTGAGGGACCGACTGGTCAGAACAAGTCCATAATTATGGTTCAGAAGATGCAAGAGAGACTCACAAGCAGTTTCACAGACAGACAGAGCAGCAAAGCGGAGAGGGAGGGAAGCATCCGATCTCGGCTTGAGCAAGTGGTGAAGTGCATAAATCATGCTTCCAGAACAGATCGTGCAGTGACACTCCCAACCAGGCTCTGTGTGTGAGAAGCTAGCTGCTGCACGTGGGCTTCAAGCCACTGAAAGC